TGAGCGGGTCTAGCCCAAGCTTTTACAGCAACATGGGTTTCGTCAGGAGAGCCAAAGGCTGATTGCCTCCATCCCATGCCTCATTGAACCAAAAGTATCTCCGATCAGTTACTGAGTGCATACAGTGTCCGGTGCACGTAAATTTATTTCCGTGGGCTGACATTTCTACATTAGCAATCCTTCTGTCAAACTTTTTTATTTTTTTTTCTCCCACTAAACTCTCCATTAATATTAGGGCCGCACAATGTAACGGAAATTTATTGTTGTCGGACTATCACTGCACACAATACTGGAAGGCAATAAATATGAGCTAATTATGTAAGTACAATGCCTTCAAGCTTCCTGAGCTAATAATTCATTCGACGATGCTTTTTGTTTTAATGCTGCAGAAAATGTTTTTTTGAAGAGCGTCAAGATGTTCTGGTGATGTCATTAAGGAAACTGAAACAGAGTTGTTTCTATGTCGACACGGGGTAGACATAACTTTTTCAATCATTTTGACCATTTTGAGACTGAAACAATGAATTTCCCTTTATGTTTCCATTAGCTGGATATCCACAATGTGGTCTATGGTTGCAATGAACTCAAATCAGAACGATATCAACACCAGTGAAGTGTTTTGTTCATCGCAAATCTCACAACATTCACTGTTATTGTTCATGAGATCTAATTAACATGTTTAGATCCGGCACTTTGCGAACGGCTTCTTTAGCTATGACCTTTTGTGGCCTTTCCTGCCTGCGGAGAGTGTCAGTGACGGTCTGCCAGACAACTGTCAAGTCAGCAGTCTTGTCCATAACGCGGCCATAAACATCTCCGTATTAAACATCCTGTCTTTATGGCTGTACAATTAAAATTTTCTCAGAAAATGAATTTCATTACCTGCAATACGTAATCATAAAAATTAGCAGATATTAACGGCTGAAATACGATCTTACTTTTGGAGTGACGTCACACATTCTTTGTTGTTTAAAAAAAAGGGTATGCACAAAACAAAAGCAAAAAAAAAAAAAAAAAGGCCTAAGTTAGACTTTTTGTTGACAAAGAAGAAATCTGTCGTAGCGGATTCAATCCGTCCTGTTTTGCTGTCTACAAAAGGTGACGGATTCAGTTACTAAATGCTCCGTAATTTAAGATTGCAAATAGAAACCTGTTGTGTGGAATGAAACCCCCCTCACCCTCCACCCCACACCGCCCCACTCCCTCCACCTTCGGAGTGCTTTCTGTCATCTCCCCTTTCAACCCAGGTGGCATGTTTGTGTTGGCCGTTGTCTGAGGAGAGACAGGGTCACGGCGGTATAACCTTGGACAAACAAATATTCATGATCAATAAGGGCTTTATTCTGAGCATTTAAATGATTCTTATCTCCGCCGGTCTCTCTTTGTCCGTCCGGAGCGGGGTCTTTTCTTTCTTTCTTTCTTTTTTTTTTTTTTTTTAAAAATTTTTTCAGGCGAGGTAAAAGGACAATTTAAAAGACTACTTAGTATCACTGCTTTCAAATGTCATGTAATCATAGGTTAGGGGAGAGTGCTGGGCATCAAGAGCTAAGTGATGGTACAGATAATGAATTGCCTCTGAAATATAATACATCGTGAGTAGGATTCTTTGTTCCAAGCTCTGTACACCAACTCGGCACAATTAAAGTTATTTATCTCCCTCGTTTTTTAAGTTCATCAATTATATTGTGATACACTTAATGTCCATAAGAGGATGATGTATGATTGGTCTAATTATTTCTTATTCACCATGCTTTCTAAAGCATATCAATTTTGTTAATACCATGTAATTAAAACACGTCAGGGCGCTACAAGTTGCTGGCTGTATTAATGACTATGAAAATTATTTTAATTAAATAGCCAATTATAGAAAAATCCTAACCATGAGAATTGACATTTAAATGAATTCAATTTAAATTGCTTTTCAACATTGTTTTATCAAAGCTTTATGGGGTGAATAAATTATTACATCAAACAATATACTGTGTCATTGATCATACACAAGTCCTGTCCCATATCCATACATTTTCAAACACTTTTCCAGTGCTCATTCATCATGCAGGGTGATTACAGTCTGACATGGTCATTTGTTTACTGCAATCTCATCCACATGTACTGTACTTCTGGAAAAAAAAAACTGCTTTTTTTAAACTTTATAGTTAAAGTTGTCTCACTAGGCTGGTTCTGTTTGCAATATAGGTTCCTATGTGTTTTTTTTTTTTTTGTCATGCAGCAATAGTTTGGTTTAATTATACCAGCAAAGGATGATGGTGAAAAATGTGCCAGCAGTGTATGAACTGTGTTGTGTTATGGCGTGTTTACCCACCTGGATTGAGACGTTTAGTTGCTTTTAGACCGGTCATGATAACATGATTTTACTGTACGATAAATTGTCCCAGAAGTTATTGCGATAAACGATAATATTGTTGCTTTGAGACAATTTTCAAGCAATATAATGGTAACGGCATAATAATGCAAGAACACATTCTCAGGGATGAATAATACATTTTTAATTTGTATGAACGTTTAACACTGCAACTGGAAGACATTTTAAATATCCAAAATAAACAACAGAAAATAAAACAAATAAAATGAATTATGAAGTCTGTGTAAACAAAATTGTCCTTAAAAAACAAAAAACATGCTAATTAAGACCAAAACACCAGATTGAAGACTTTTATCGTCCAGTTTTAGGTAGAAAGAGAAAAACGATAAATCATGCAAATGAGAATTATTGAACTCGTTTTAATTTATCATTATCAGTTTATCGTTTATTGTGACAGGCCTAGTTGCTTTCATTAAAGCTTTCCACATTCTCTCACATTAAAACCACAGAATGTTTCGCTGAGGTTTTTAATAAACCGACACAAAGTAGCAGATTATTGCAAAGTGGACAAAAACAATTTTTTTTCCCGTATTGCCATCTATGTACATAATGTCTTAATGTTTTACCACCTACTTTTCCCGTCTTCTCTTCTCGATCTTCACAGCATGATGCTGCCACCACCATGTTTTACCAAGGGGATGGTGCGTTGTAGTCGATGTGTGGTCTCTGGCCCACTCAGTATTCTTGAAGCCCTTTGCATCTGAAACATCACACATACGTCCTGTGTTGCCTTCTCATCCCTATCATGTTGCCAAAGCGCCGCATAATTGTTCGCAGTTGTCATTTCTCAAACTTTACAAGTGCAAAGATTTGCAGCTGACCCACGCAAACGGGAGAAATGGTGGGCAAACCGTTGTGACATTCATTGTATATAATGAAATCTTAATATGGTGCATATTTAAGTGAAAGGTTAGCAACATAAAGGGCAATCGGATTGCCTGGCAATGAATTTTAAGCAGCTATTGATTTTACACTACAAGCTCCCCTCTTCTCTGAATGATAATTTTTTTTTTTTTTTTTTTTTTTTTTTTTTTAATTGCACCCTGCTTATCTTAAGGCTTCTCTGGACACGGGGAAAAGGGGAGAACAGGAACGTTATCTGGACCAAACTCACTCCGTCTGATATGAAACACCTGTTAGCTGAAGTATTTGAAAACAGATGTATGTATACACTAAATATAAGTGGAAAAAATGAGAGTAATTAGATTTTGGGGGGGGTGGTATATACCCATCTGATGCTTCTGACTGAGAGACGTTATAAACACGGAGCTCTGAAAAATGAAGCCAGGATAACTGTTTGTCAAAGTGACACTGATTGTCGCTATAAGACCTGAAACTGTACAGAGATCTGAACCTGTTCCATTATGGGCCACTCGGTTTTCCTATCGAAATCTTTATGCACTCTTCTATGATGTCAAAGTTTGGTTCAAAACTCAGCTTCATCAGAAATATGGATTTTCTTCTTTCTTTTTAGGAGATTCAAATTTCCCCAAAACACTTCGCTTAAATGTTAAGTCTCCTCCTGTTATAAATCCATCTGTTCAGCTTTAATTCCTCCACAATGTTACAACTCTTATTATGTGAATTTAAATCTTTCAGAAGGTGACGGGGAGCGATGCCGCTCCATGCTCTGCGCGGCGCTTTAATGAAACAATCTTCTGGAAACGAAACCTTGAAGTCCATGTTTAATTAGTGATCTCATGTTTGCATCAGCTCACAATTAGTCACTGGAGAATATGTTTCTATCATGCACAAAACTTACTCGTATTTTATGCAAAACAAGATCTCTGAAGTGCACACACACACACACACAGAGAGACACAGACGCACCACTGTTAAATTGGGGACATTTATTCTGCACAAAGCAACAGAAAAAAAAAGCAAAAAACATACAGTGTCTTTTGGGGAAAGAGTGCAACAATCAGGTTACACTAACTAGTACTTTGTTCAGGGATCTTACAGTTTTACTCATGTCAAATTTGAGTCTAATTTTACATCTTTAGTATACGTTCACGCTACCATGCTAAAGTTGTCCAAATCTGCCAGACTGTGAGGACGTTAATTGTCCATATCCCTCTTCAGGGGAGTTAATCAGTCAGGTTTTCCCTCTGGATTTTGACTTGGCCATTTCAAAAGTTACATTTTCTGCTCATTCAGTCATTATTTTGTCATTTTGATGTACGGTTTGCCTCAGTGTGGGGCTAAAAAAAACATAAATCCTTCTTAATCCTCAGCTTTCTAGGTTACACCTAAAGATTCAGGCTCAGAATTTGGATCTGTTTCATAATGTCATTCACCTTAAATCCCCACATCCACTGGAGGTAAAAAAAAATAAATAAAATCCCCAAATCATGATTCTGCCACCACCATGTTTCACTGTGAGTGCGGTGTCCTTTTGGTGATGTTTTTTTTTAGCATTGAGTTTTGACATTGCTGCAGTCTTTTCAATTTTCCATTTTTTCTGTTCGTAAATTTAGAGAAAACACTCTGGTTGTTGCAATTCCACTTTTATCCAATAGATTCTCCAAAGACAGATAAATCTCTATCCAGAGCCACACATACAGATAAAATACATATATATATATATATATATATATATATATATATATATTCTTACTACTATTGATACCTTAGTACAATAGAACAATAGAATAACTAATTATGGCTTTAATTACAATATGCAAATGACCAAATGTCAGAGTGTTGGACAGCTGAACTTTATTTCAGATTAGACAGATTTACAAAAATTTATGGCAGGCGTAAACTTGAGAAGACAGATTGCTTAATTCAATGAAAATATATTTTTATATAGTTCAGGAGTGTGCAGCATGCAACAAGATCAAACCTTTTTTTTTCCGTTTCTCATCTTCTCCTGAACAAATTTGTTATTCTTTGTTCTTCAGCTGAATTGTATACAGTATGTATCAAAGTAAAGGTGGAAAAACATAAAAAGTAGCATTTTAACAGGAGGTGTGAACAGTTTTGACATTTAGTGCAAAAAACAAAAAAAAAAAAAACAGTTTTATGTTGATTCTTTACTTTGTTTTGCTGCTTCTCAACAGAAAAAAGCACAATGGCTGTCAGAACAACAATAAAAGCCAAGGCTAATTAAATGAGGAATGTTATCAGTGACTCCTTCAGGACGAGCTCGGTCAGAAAACAGGATAACTATGACATCACGAATTGTTTAAAAATAAAAAAAAAATGAAAAAATTAAAAGGTCATATCATTCTCAATTTTCATTTTAAATTTGAGAAAACTTCGCAGAATGATGGATCAGTCAGGAGCGACTATTTTGTTGCAGCCGCAAAGAAATGAGCCGGGGGAAAACATCTCCATCTGATCTAAAAAAAAAAAGAGAAAAAAATGTCTCTGTTCGGTGTGTGTGGAGTTAATGAGTTATTAAAGCGGAGCTGAAACATTTCAGTAAAGCAGAGAGAACAGTTAGTTTTATGTTCTTCAAAGGCTCCCACTGTCCCCTAGCTCCTCCCTCTCTGTACCGTGTGACAACAACAACTCATCCACAGAGCGGTGCTGCACTTTTCAGCTCATTTTCCTCCTGTCATTCCTCCTCCTATCTTTGATCATTGTCCCCTCTCAGAAAAAAAAAACGAGAGAAAAAATTCACTCAGCACGCCTTTTTTCGCTCCAGCGCTTTTTTTTTTTTTTTTTTTTTTTTTTTTCTTTTTCTTTTTTTACTTCCCAACTTAACTGAGGAGCTAAAACTCTGAAGGATTCTTTCATTTAAGGGTGTCTCGGCAGGCTGGCTTTTTTACTTTGAACTTCGGACTGCTTTCCTTTTTTTTTTTTTTTTTTCCCCCCTTCCTTCGTTAGGTGACCATGGCCGTACCGGCTGCTCTGATCCCACCAACTCCGCTCGTCCCGCCGCCTCCGATCTCCACTCCCTCCGCCACCACGTCCCCGCCGTCGACAACTTCGTCCCCGTCCCCGTCCCTGGTGCCGCCGACGGGACCCGGCCAGAACCTGTTCAGGTCGGAGCTCCTCGCCACCGGCAGCCCGGGCATCCCGACCCCGACCGCGGCTCTGCCCCCGAGCAAGCCCGTCTACTCGACCCCGTCGCCCGTCGAGAACATCCCGCAGAACAACGAGTGCAAGATGGTCGAGCTGCGCGGCGCCAAGGTGGCATCGTTCACCGTGGACGGCTGCGAGCTCATCTGCCTCCCGCAGGCGTTCGACCTGTTCCTGAAGCACCTGGTCGGCGGACTGCACACGGTCTACACCAAGCTGAAGCGGCTGGAGATCACGCCGGTCGTGTGCAACGTGGAGCAGGTCCGCATCCTCAGGGGGCTCGGCGCCATCCAGCCCGGAGTGAACCGCTGCAAGCTCATCTCCAGGAAGGACTTCGAGACGCTCTACAACGACTGCACCAACGCGAGGTGAGTGCGGAGCTCCGCTGTGCGCGCGCCCTCCTCGCCAGCAAGAGAGCCGTGCGTAAAGGCGCAGCGGCATGCATGCATGCGAGAGGGGGGGAAAGACGGTCTCTTTTTCTTCCTCCCTCCAACCTCAATGCAAAAAAAAAAAAAAAAAACTGGATTCGGCGTTTTTCATATTGCTATTTGATGATTCCTGTGTATGTATACGTGTGAAAGGTTTGAGTATGATCGTGGATGCATGTCAAAATTGAAAATGCTGGCTGGTGGTTGTGGGGGGTGTAAAAAAAAAAAAAAAAAAAAAGATAAAGTGCCATCGTAGGATCTGCTGTGCGCCTCGGCAGTTAAAAAGTTAAGTGAAAGTTTTTAACACGTGCAACGCAAAAGCTGTGACATGATGGATACAGCCTGTCTGCTGCTGAGCCAGTAAGTCGATAACAGTGGGGCGTTGAATAAACTGCAGATCCAACTCTACCACTTTCTTTTTTAGAAAGTGTTAAAACGTTTAGCAATCTTTTGAAATGTCAAGTTCTCCCTGTAGATTTGCGCAACTCCCAACTCCTTTTATTTTATTTTGACCGAACTGTAACTAGGGTAGGTGTCCTTTTAAAGTCCTTACATTTGTGGGATTAAGGTATCAGTTAGGATAATTAAAATTTGGCTGAATGTAAACAAATAGAGAAAAAACCCCAAAACAATTCTGTCATATTACTTTGTCTTACTTTCTGGTAGCAACAAAATAATACTTTACACTCCTCCTATTAAAGCAAGAGTTCATCAGCAAGCTATTGTTTATCGATGCAAATAATTCTACTTCAATTAAACATCATTGATTGTGATAGAATAATAATAATGATAACAGCAAAAATGGTTTGAAGAAATGAATGCATCGCAACGCAACAAATCGAGCAAAAATAACCTTGATCTGTTTTTGAAAACCGACTGATTTAAGCACAGATCAATACTGGATTAAAAGCCATTTTTTATTGTCCTGTTGCTCCTCGTCTGTGATGCATCGCTCAAGTCTCTCAGGACGGTGGAGCCTGGTCAAATTTACCCTCTCACCTGTCACTGTGATTGATTCTATATTGATCGCTCCCCCTTGCATTCAGTGATGAGCTGGAAATGCAAATATGATGGAAAGCCTCCCCACAAGTGAAGCGGGAACGGCAAAATAAAAGCAGTTAAAGTCACTTTGAGTCTGGGTTTAGAGCAGAGAAGCACCAGTCGAGTAGTTCAGAAGGCTGAAAAACATTTCGCTTGTTGACTTAATGCATCAAAACTGATAACTCCTCCTATTCTCCGTCTGTAAATGCATCAATCAGCAGCAGGCGAGGCGGTGCACAATTTCCAGTTTCAGATAAATGTCACAGATAGATGTTTCCATGCGTGAGCGGGGATGATCTTGTTATTCCTTCATTTTCTGCTAAATTGAAAACTGTTACATTCCTCAAAGAACCTGAAGGACATTTTCCTTCTTTTTTTATTTTGTGACAGTAGAAAAGAATATAATAATAATAAAAAAAAATCTCGTCTGGAATTGGCCAGGAAAAGTCTGATTAGTGCACGTTTAGTTTAAGAAGTGTGCAGTTTCTGTTTTTGTAGCAGAATTAACCGGACGAGTTATTGTGGGAGGGGGAAGATGAAGTAAGTTGAGCTGTGCAGAATTTAAATGCAAATATCCCGACGGCCCGGACAGGACTTTTTTTTTTTTTTTTTTTTTTTTTTTTTTTTTGAAATTTTCAGAGTGATCTTGTCAGATTCGCCATTTTTTCCCATGTCACACGCTAACGGTTGTGTTGCTGCTGCATTTAAACATTTAGAATAACCTGCACCCTGTGTTTTTGCACCTGTGGGCCTCACACACCTCCGTGCAGCTCTCTGCTGCAAGCTTCACGTTCCCGTTTTAGCAGCAATTGTCTCAACAGCTCACCTGTGCACCCTGGTGCTTAAGCATCATTTACATAAAGCATCAAGGGACCCGAACACCCCATCACCTCCCCCTCCCCACACTTTATCTACTGTACAGATCCTCCTCTGAAGCTCGGCGTGGAGCTTCAGGTGACAAAGTATGCGGCTGAACTCTCCGGGTTGTCAATGGTGGGGCCGGGCGGGGAGGGAAGAGGGACGACCAGCGATGGGGTTAAAGGATAATGCAGTGCCTCGCGTCGCTTTAATGACGCTAAAGTGCTGGGCTATTACGGGCACATGGACAGGACTGTAATTGTCTCTGAAAGCAGCCAGGTTCTCCCGGCGCTGGGCTGAAATCAATCACTCAGACCCGGGTCTGCCTGCCTGCCTGCCTGCCTGCCTGCCTGCCTGCCCCATTTGGAGAATTACATCATGGAACGGGCCGAGGCATCCGCGGGGATAAAAGGCTTCTTCTGTTGCTTGGGAAAGAGTTGATTTTATTTGCGGGGATGTGCCGCCTCACGCTCCGTCTCGCCCCGCTGATACAGCTGCTGACAAAATGATCACTTTGAGTAAACAGCACACAGGTTGCAAACCCTCCCCCCTCCTCCAAAAACAAAACAAAAAAATACCCACACCCCACTGACCCCCGAGGTGAAAACAAGTTCCCTCTATTTCCACCAACTTACAGTCAGATTAATAAAAAAAAAGAAAAAGAAAAAAAAGAAAAAAGAAAAGGAAAAGTATCCGAGTTCACGGGTTTACCCCGCTCGGGTTACAACAACAACAGCCTGCTGCCTGGGATAGTTTAGCTTTTCATCCCCCCTCTACCACCACCCCCACCCCCTCTATTACACAGAGTGTCACTGCTCTTTTTTTAATACAGTGGCACAGTGATAACAATGAAGTGAATAATACTCCTATACAATGGCTCTAACTATTTCACATGCAGTTTATCCCCCTCCTTCTGGCGGCCTATTGTGCTAAAACAACATGGGTCTCTCTCTTTTTTTTTTTTCTTTTTTTTTTGTGCACACTGTGTGAATGTGAATAGCATCACAGAGCTCCACTGCAGCCTGCTGTTTCAGTTTTGATGTGGACACAAACAAGCCAAGTTGTTCCCTGCTATGCTCGCTGTTTAAACACATTTAAAGAGTGTATTGTTCGCTGGAATTCTTTGTGTGTGTGTGTGTTTGTTGTGGGTGTTTTGGTTTGTTAAAGCAGCTTAAGTTTTACCTGATTCAAAACTTTTAAAAAGTTAACCAAGTGCACCAAGTTAAAAATAAATAAATAAATCAATATAATGAGATGCCAGAGAACGCGCCGGTTCCGTTGGAGCTTGCTCTGAAGTGTCCTGCTGCTGCTGCTGCACACTGCTGGTCAGTTGGCTGAAATAAAATTTCTCCTCTCACAAGAAATTTGGCTTTTTTAAAGCATTTCTGACCATGGAAAACCATCATAATATTCATAGCAGGAAATTTTCTGCTGTGTCTTCATCTGCGTGAATAATTTAAACCTAATTATCATTTTAAGAAGCAAAATATTTTTGTCAGAGAGAGATGACGGAGAAAGAGCAGGAGAGAGCAGATATTTCCTAACATTGTGCTTTCTGCTCTTACGCCTTTTGCTGTGCACTGCTAGCCAGCTGGCTCAAACAAATCCTCAACGTTTTGCCTTTTTAAAAAAACAAAAAAAACAACAAAAAAAAAACAAATTGGGCTGCTTGAAACATTTCTGATCATGAAAACATTGCCAGTAATCGCTTGAAAATGCGAGTTGACTGCTGGCTGGCTACATGTGCAGACAGCACAAGTAATATACCGGCTGACATCATTTGCTTATGCTTGCTTTACTCTGTGGAGAGCAGCAAAAACATCTAAATTTCTAAGCACAGTTAATCTTTAGTCTTCCCTCTTCGAAACCATCTTCACTGAAGAGTGTTGGCACGAACTCGACCTGTTGGCGCTTAGCTGCGTTCAGTGATTCAGTGGCTTTTCAGTCAGCAGTCAGACCTGCTCAAGCTGAAAACTGATTCCAGCTGATTTCTTTGTGCATCTCTGTTGCTTTGTTTGCTTCATCTTGTTAAGAACTGAACAGCAAATGTGTGTAATAATGTCCACACCTGAAAACTCTAAAAAAAAAAAAAAAAAAAAAAAGAGGTTTCTAGCAGGTGTTCATTCAATTTTTTTTTTATTTTTGCCTAATTATATTTATCAAAGTGAAGATCGTGATAAGTAAATGCAATCAATAACATTACTGTGTGTAGTAATAGGAGTGATTATTGTTATTTTATTTGAGCAGCAGTAGTGAGTGCAGCGTCTTTCTTTGAAATAAAACTCATTATAACTTGCTGGAAAGTTTTGCTCTTGATTGTGCAGATAGGGTGAAGTGGTGGTATTCCTGCTCGCCTCATAGCGGCCCATCCCAACTTAAAACCATGAAAACGAAGATGTGTGTTTGAACCGTCTGAGCTCAGTTACAGGTCATTACAGCTAATCTTAAAAAAAAAAAAAAAAACTACCAGAAATATAGTGACTATTAACCTCTTTATTTTCTGAAGGGCTCTTGTGCCAGATTACCAGTGTTCCACACTGATCCGGGTTCGGTAATCTCCCCCCTTTTACATTATATGACTGTGGCCCCTCCAAGAGCCCCCGCAGGAGCCCCCCGTGTTCCAGCTACTTGTTTTCCCTTTTCATTTTCCCCGCAGTGGGATGAAAAAAAAAGAAAGAAAGGAAAAAACGAGGTTCTTATTGCTGCGTGACACTTGAACTCTCAGAAAGGTTATTATAACACGAGGGCGGCGCGAAGATATCGCATATCTCTCATTGGTCTCCTTTTTTTTTTTTTTTTTTTTCGTGTGTGTTTGCGTCTGTGTGTGTGGCTATCCGATGCCGGGGCAGCGGTTTTAATTGACAATCATTGTCTACCCCTTGAAGGTTAACTGCACACCCTAGACGGTGTCCCACCGCTGGGGAAACGGGCTCGGCTTTTTTCACTTACACGCCCCGCTTAAATAGATTTTCCTCAGCTCGTTTCTGTCAGGTCCCAGCGAAAGCCACGTTTTTGCTTTTCTTTCTTTTTTATTTTTTTTT